CCCCAAAACCCCAAAACCCCAAAACCCCAAAACCCCAAAACCCCGGAGTAAGGAAGTCTCATTGAAAGATTCATAAAAAGTATCTTAAAGGAATTTAGAGCTTAATACAAATGCTCAAAGATTGGCTAAGGCATCTGTTCTAGGCAAGCCATGCTCTAGAAGTACAGAGATACTTCTACTTGGGGATAATATCGGGTTGTCTTGACTAGAGTCAGATATTTATTTTTATGCTGGAGGCTAATCATCTTAGGCCTCTATTTTTAGTTTTGCCAGAAATTTATATAAAATTAGCTATTTACCATATTCGCCTATTTACTGGTCTGCTGCCTAGTTTGATCCTCCAAATTGCCTGTTACACAGAATCTGTAAATTACGTCTAAAGTTCTATTTCTAAATAATTATGAACATAATTTAACATTCTTAGTTTTGGAGCTGCACGTTTTGGTGGAGGATTTAACAAGAGCGTGACATATGCAAACTTCCAAAACATGCCAATGTCAAAACCCCAGAACAATTGTAATTAATGGGAACTGAATAGTCTCAGAATTATGTAAAGTTATTATTTGATCCTTAGCCAATCTCAGCTTGATGAATAGACTTGGACTTCTTCAAGATCTCTACTTCTGAGAATAGATGGTTCTGCTTCTTCTCTTCTTCCAATCTCTTGCCAGAATTATTCTGAGAATTAGCTGCAGCCTTTGGCTTAAGCTTATCAAATGCTGAATTAATATTTTCCTCCAGGGAATTGCTCTTTCTCTCTAAGCTAGACACAGTTGATAAAAATTTAGCAATGTCTGTTTCCTCTCTCATCATCCTGAGATTTTCAGAAAATGGGATTTTCTTGTGACCATCTGGCTCATCACCCTTCTGCCTAGGTCTAAGGCATGAGAAGAGATGGGCCCACATATCCCTTGCAGTGTATTGACCTTCCTTCTCTTCTAGCTCTGAAAGGGCAGAGTCTCTACTACTTTGGGAGTCTCCAAGCGGCAAGCTCACCTCTTCTTGGGCGAAATGGACCATTTCTATCTCGCTCTTTTTGTTAGAATTAAGCTTGGCTGGGGTTTTAGGGTTTTTAGGCCTGTCCTCTTGCTGTGAAACGGTGAGATTGAGAGTTTAGGGTCAACAGGAGATGTAAAATGTGGACTCTGAAGGGACTTTTGAGGGAATATGACTTCTATTAGTATAGCAGGGGCTTAAAATAATAGGATAGGATGAACATAGAGTTATTTCGCATTTTTAGAGCGCAAAGAACTTAAAAATATGAGTATGATATTTTCCCAGTGGAAAATAAGCAACACAAATACTAAATATGAGGTGTAGGTTTATTACCATTGTGCTATACTCTATTCTAAAATAGTCTTATAGATATATTTGTAAGGAAGTATGGATTTGGATTCTAATCCTTGATGTTCGATTAATACCGTTTACTAAAAAGTCTGATCTAATTAGCTCAATAGTGAGGAATAATAAATTAAGACACCGTATCGAGAGTTATATAAAGCTTAGAGTATGAGAATAAAGAATTTTAACGTTATTAATTCAGATTAACATCTTTTATCTGCTAGGAGACAAAAAGTTTATCATCTTTTAATCATTATTTCTAATGGTGCCTCTGTATAATATCTAAGGTATCAAATGCTATCTTCCTTCTCAAATATATAGTCTCCAAAAGTTCACTACGATTGCCCAAACCCGTAGCGTCAAAGCTCTCTATTACACTAGTGGGGCTATTGTTTGCATGGATAAAGGCAGCTGTAATATATTTTGAAGTAACATGTCATCCTTAATAGTCATGAAATATGCTGGTATCCAACTTTGCAGACCAATCTTAAAGTGGGTCTCCATAATTACCTGATAACTACGCTGATTTGGAGTCTTTAAATCATGGTGAGCATTATAGGGGTCAATTGGCTGAGCCATGGCGTGAGCTTTTTGATACTGGAATTCATGTTGTCTTTCAAGCTTATGCTCCTCAAGAAGTTCTTTACTTTCTTCTAATCGGCTCTGCTTCTGAATGACCTCTTGAATGATGGCTCTTTTCATGATCTTTAAGTCTTCTTCCTTATCTTTCTGTATTTGTTGATAGCTGTCGAAAGCAAAGTTATTTTCCTGGTTAATTTCGTTCATGGTATTGACATTGCGCAATCCATTCACTATACAAATAAATATGGTTAAGCTTTGAAGATTTAGCCTTTGAAGCAATATATAAGCGACTTTTGATATTTAAACAGAATTTTCTGTGGTTGTACTTGCACCTTTTATTCAGCTTCTTGACTACTTACTTATAGGGGTGAATACCAATCCAAATATTAGAAACAAGGTAGCACAAAGACCTCCTGCAGTGGCCATTATGTATAAAATTCTGTAATAAATAGCCATCTTCTTGGTCTCTTCTTTGATTTGAGTGGTGCTACTAGATTTGAGGTTTCTTGCTGAGAGAGGAGTGAAGGTAGGCTTAAGGTACTCTTGGATATACACTTGCTTCGGAGCAGAATAAATAGCATTGTCTCTGGAAATATAGTAAGCAAATAAGATATTATTGGTGTATTTGAAAGATGATCGACTTTGAATGGATGCTGTGTAGAACACTTCTTCTCTTCCGTCTATATTAATTCTCATTTAAAAAATCTTGATGAAGAAAGAATTTAAATAGAGTAGGAAGGGATTCCTGGAGGTAAATATTCAGGCTATTTTAGCTTTCTCAGATGATTCGTAGTGTAATCACATTAGAGTCTTACTAAATTATTTTAGTTACCTATAGCTTTGACAATGTGTTCTTTAACAAACAGATAAATCTCTTTAGAATCAAAGGACTCATAGATGGTATGCTCTGCAAGTTTGAACCCATGTGAAGGATTGCTGTTCGGAATGTAGTACCCGTTAGTATAATAAATTGTGTAAGCCAGTCCATTCATGTATTCGGCCTGTGCATCACAATTGGAGGTTCAGTTCATACTCATGCTCACTAATCCAAACATGGAGCAATCTGATCGATGAAGGTTACCTTTGAGCTCAATATCTTGGGGATTATTCAGACAAATGCACTCGGAGAGGTCGATTTTTGAAAGTTCTTCTCTGACTTCTTCAGGGAATAGTGTAGTAGAGCAAGATGTTGGATTAATGGCAACAGACTCTGAGTTTACTAAAGTTAGACCCATTATCATAGCATATTCGGTGTTTACTGGCTTATTAGGACACAAAGCAACATTGAACCCGTGCTGGAACGGATATATGGGAGCTTGAGTCAATGCAGAGTCAACCACTTCATGCTCAACATAAGTCAGAGAACTGCCTACTGCAAAATCAGTGGTGATCGATCTCGTGTTGCCTCCATCAAATGGCGACCCTGAGGTTGAGCTCTGAGTAAGCTGTCTTCTATTCGGACAAGTTGGTGTAGACTAAATAACATTAAAAATTGGATAAATTTCTGCTAAATTACTGTTGTAGTGATGGTTTCGACTTGCTGAACTTGCTTGATGTTTTCAAGAACCAGGATCACCATGAAGCCAAGAACGATTGCTGAAATTATTAACGAACATAAGGTCGAGGGAACCTGAACATGCTTTCCTAAAGTTTTAAAGGTGAATATGCGGGAAGATTGATTAGTTGCATATTAGAATTATTAGGCAGAAGATTCGATAAAATAGTGATTAAAGCCAAATTCCTATTTCTGAAAATAACTAAGGGAGCAATGGGGTCATCAGGTTATTGGCTTTAGAGGGTTATTCTGGCTCTAATTGAACTAAGTTTAGATAAATTTGAATGACTAAAGAGGTATTGTCATTTCTACACTGCCATTTTTATATTAGAGTCTTGTTTTCGAATATTTTAATAAGAAATCCTTATTCTTCCTTTAAGAATTGATCACGAATTTTCTTTACAGGCTGAGGATATCAGTTCATATAATTTAAGACTCTTACTGCCAATAGTGAAGCCAATAGGGGTTGCGAATAAGTCTAGATTTCTGATTCTACTTGTAATGATCTGCCCCATTTATATTTATTATATTAATCTTTCTCACTTTGCTTTAACTGAGGGGTTTTGGGGTTTTGGGGTTTTGGGG